GAATGCCCGTTTCTAACACCCTCTCCAGGTGATTCTTTGTACCCCGTGGGCTGAGAACCTCTGCATGGGTTGTGCTGGCCTTCCACTGTTAAGAGGAAGACAGATCCAAGAGGGAGCTTGTCCCGGCTCAGAAGGTCGTGTCCCTCAGGGTTTGTGGGTTAGGAGAGGAGCCGTTCAACTCTATTAGGAATGTCCAACCCTCTGAGCTGGCTTTGATAAGCAGGAAGATGTGGAAGAAGTCTGTTTTCATTTTTTTTTTTTCAACGAACAAAATCTATACCGTCTTCATGCTGGTCTGTCTCGTACATGCCTCTTGGCAAAGTCCCTCACTTTCCCTGTTAGGTTTTACTTTAAGTTGTCTCCCTGCTGAGTCTGGGGCTGCGCCTTAGAAGGATGTGATGAACCCCTTCATTTGTATGGCCACTAACCTCCTCCTCTTCGCAAAGCTGCTGAGACATAACATGACTTCACCAACTTCCCCAGGGGACACCAGTTGACATCATCCCTCCCGGGCAGACTGGGCCCAAACACCCTCTCTGTTCAGAAGTCTCCTCTGTATGTTTCTGAATGGGTCTGTCTCCCACGGCACCTGTCCCTATGTCACCAAGAACATTTTATCCTAATCCCACAGAGCATCTTGGCCATCCCTCTGGACTGAAGTTTGTCTCTCCTTCCCTTCCCCACATTGACAAGGCAATCCTGTAAATAACATCCACTTGGTACTTTTCTTAACACCATGAATCATTGTACATGTGGGTGTAACATCCTATTTAGTAGCCTAAGAATCTAACCCCAAAGAGTATTGCTCTTGCTTTTGTTTACCTGTGTGTGCAAACACAGGTGCTCATGTACACCCTGAATATCTGTTTTAATTTCCATGAGTATCCAGATAGGTTTCTCACAGCCCATCTTTAAAGGAGCATCGTACAAGTGTTTGATACATGGTCCCTTCCCTCATGGGCACTACTAATGTCGTGTTTCCTCTAATACTGAGGGGCATCTGGGAACTTCGCTGCAGGCAGCCAAAGAGAAGTCTGCCTGTCTGGCTGAATGTGTGTCTCTCTCTACACACACACACACACACACACACACACACACACACTCCTATACAGTCATCCCTCAGTATCCTCAGGGGATTGGTTCCAGGATCCCCACGGATACCAAGGTCCACAGATGCTCAAGTCCCATATATAAAATGGCATAATATTTGCGTATAACCTATGCACATCCTCCTGTATACTTTAAAACATCTCTAGATTACTTATAATACCTAATACAATGTAAATGCTATGTAAATAGTTGCTGGTGCACGGCAGATTCAAGTTTTGCTTTTTGGAACTTTCTGGGATTTTTTTTCTGAATATTTTCAATCTGTATTTGGTTGAATCCACAGGTGCAGAACCAGCAGATACAGAGGGCTGGCTACATACGTATATATTTCTCTCTCTCTCTATTAGAGTCTTAACACCCACTTAGTAACCTTCCAGCTCACATTTTCTCCAATCTTTGTTGCACCCAAAATGACCAAGTCATCTTACCTCTCTGCCCATAGGCTGCACCTGGGAATTTGGAGCCATGGTAAACTACATCAAGAAGACATATCCCCTGACCCAGCTGGTGGTCGTGGGCTTTAGCCTGGGTGGTAACATCGTGTGTAAATACTTGGGGGAGACCCAGGCCAACCAAGAAAAGGTTCTGTGCTGCGTCAGCGTGTGCCAGGGCTACAGTGCACTGAGGTGAGTGATCCCGGCCACATGCTCCCACTTCTTTCTGCCGTTGGTCCTCCAGTTAGCACTCGTTTATTGAGATGCCCCAGTGCACCAGACATTGGTTCATGAAGAGCAGGGGAAATGCTGGGGCAGACTGAGCAGAAGTTTCTGGGTCTTGGATTTACCTTGTTTTGCTTCCACATCGTATACTGGATTTGTCCTATCAGACCCCTTAAGCCTGGGATATGCAGCTCTATTTTGGGATCAGATCTGTAATTGAATAAGCCAAAGCCCCCCTTAATAGCTGCTGTTCCCCTTTGGAGTCTCTGTGAGACGACTTAACTCTGTTCGTGCTCCAGGAGTTTTGTAGAACTGTGGGTTTATGAAAACAGAGGAGACTTGGTGAACCAGGGTCTGAGAACTGGGCCTTATGACCCCAGATTCCTCCTGTCTACCAAAGAATTGAGTCTCAGGTGGCATCTGGAAGGGGTCTTTAGAAACCATTTAATCCATGCCCTCACTGTCAAACAGTCATCTCTCTCAGGCATCCCAGAATCAGGCACAAGAGATGACCTACTGGGTAAAGGTTTACCTCTCCCCTTAGTCTCCCGACAACAGAACCCCGAAGGAGGAGTCCTAGGAGGGCATTATCGTCTGCTCTGACCTCCCACCAGATCAGTGTTGTCCTAGATCACTTCAGAGTCACCACACACACACATTCACCCACACACACTCACACACACACACACTCACACTCTCAATACACATCACACTCACACACACATCTTTCCAGACTCTTTAAATGCATTCATATTTTTTCCTGTACTCACTGCTCATGATAATGTCTTTTGTATTACCAATGAGTATGACCAGTTTATTAAAGAACTCTTGAAATCCAAAATCACACAAAAAAAGTAAAAACAAACAAACAAAAAACTCCCTGATTGATCCAGTCTAATGCCAAAGAGTCCTTATAGTTAATAAATGAATCCTTCCTTTTTGCCTCACCTATATCTCTCATGGTGTAGTTTAAACCTATCTTGTCATTTTCTAATGGATAAGGGGCTATGTTATTTCTAAAAATATCTGTTACTGGAATGTGAAGTCAACACATCCAAAGGGCAAATGCAGGCTCAGAATTCAGCCTCTGCCTGAGCCTTAAAGCTGGCCAAAACAGAGAATTTAAATGTACCCAAAAATAGACATGAAAGACATCCCTGCTGGAACCTTCCCTGAGTTCCAGCGCCAGGGCCTAGGTTCCAGTTGTCCTCACCTGCAATATGCAGATGACGGTAATAATAAATGGTACCTACCCCATGGCGCCATTGTGAGGGTCAGATGAGTTAATGGGCATGAACTACTTGCAGCAGTGCCAGGCATGTAGAAAGTTAAGTCAGTAACTGTTAATTACCATCATTATTCATTGTAAAAGGAGAAGTGGACTAGATCAGTGGATGACAAAGACCGATCTAGTGAACTAGCGACTGCCTCACTTCATTAAGAATCACTTGGAGGATCGTGTTAGAAATAAACTCATTTTCTTGGGCCCCAGCCCTGGAGATCATGATTCATGCATCTGCAGCACAGGGCTGGGAATCTGCGTTTGGACACATTTCACAGGTGACTCCTGAGATTTAGCCACGTTTAGCAGTCATTGGGCCTGGGGACCTCAGCAGTCTCTCCAGCTCTAATATTGCAGGACTAGGTTAGTCCCCTCGACCTCCTGATGGGAATCCTCCCCTTCACTCCTCTCTACACTCTGGTGAGCCAGGACATGTTCCTTTATTTTGGCTTGGCTAAAAATATTCAACTCCCAATTCATAGCCATTATGTAACCAGAGTTAACCGAAGTCCCATCCTGCCCAGTGACTGGAATATTAGAGCAATGAGCAAAGGGCCCGCCACAGGATCCGAGGGAGCAGGGCCTGGCAGGAGGCCCTTGTCATCTGGCAAGTGGTCCAGTTTTTGATAAGGCTTCTAGCATCTGTAAAAATCAGAATCGCTGAAGTCCCCTCCTAAACCAAGTGCTGTCAAATTACTGTGAACACTGACTTTGTGTTCAGAGAGCCCTGGATTTGACAAGCAGGAGGATGTAGGACAAGTTTTCATTTTTTTTCAACGCGCAGGCTCTTCAGCAACAGCCTGATTTCATTTTGCTGCAACAGCGCCATCTGCTGCTGGCCAAGTACACGACTCACGCGTTTGCCGATCCACGGTGTTCAAACTAAGGCAAAGGTTTAAGCTAGGAAACTGACCAACATCTGTGAGGTGCTGAACATTTTGCAGGCATGGTCTACACCACTTCTCTTTGAGACCTCAAAGATCTTAATACTCATAATCATTGTCACATCAACCTCCTGCAAAGAGGTGAGAAACTGGCAACTTTATACTCTAGAGCACAGAGAACTAATGCTAAGGCTAAGATCCTGTGGCCCTACACACAGGAACTGGCAACAGGTCAAGGAGACACCATCGCCCTATGCATACCCCCAACATTTTAATGAGTTCAGGTCCCCCCAACAGTTTAATGATATCTATTCGCTAAATGACAGTGGCTTACTTTAAACCAGCATAACCTTTTTTCTCCTGCCAAGGCTTGAGGGCAATGAGCCTTTTCAGCACTGGGATGATAGCAGCCATGCTTCCTATATACCAAGGTGGAGCGTGGAGGGCTTGTCTGCCTCTGCAGGGGCCACACAGGAGTTCATGCTTCCAGTAAATCCCTCCTTGTTGAGTCTACACAACCGCTTGTCAGTGATCCATCCCCTCCCTCTGGCTTCTCGTCCCTATAGCGCACCTCCCCACTAGCCAGAGCCAGTTCTAGGCTCAGAAGCCAGCGCCTGCTTGCTGTCGTTAGAGCAGACTAGCTGCTGCTAAACTAGCTCACCTTTGATGAGGTGCTGAACCAGTGAAGGAGGGAAACAGATGTCCCAAAACTACATGGTATCCAGCTGACTTAACATGTTGCCTCAGGATAAAGAGCAGCCAACTAACTAGCCCTGGAAATGTGTGTGGTCAGACTCAGCCTAACTCTCTGGTTTAATTAATCATTTGAAGCTGTTATGAAGACCTTCATTATAAATTCATCCAGTGAATAGCAACCAGACAGAAATGCAAGAGAGAGAAGTAGTGATGCCGAAAGATTACCTGTGATTAATTCATTCATTGATTCTTTGATTCATTCAGCAAGACACCTTTCTAGGTAATAGGACACAACTGTGAACAAGGCCAACAGATTCCCCACCCTCGTGGAGCTTAAAGAAAAGGGAAGGGAAGCCCTTGTGGTCTCATTTCAGGTAAAATCAAGTCTTCATTGCTGAGGAAGCCCTCAACAATCTTGCACTGAAGAATCCTCCAATAATAATATGATTAAATACAAGCATTCTGTTGCAGTTTGGGTGTAAGAGATAGTCTGTATCTGCTTAATGGCAATAGAATGATGTTTACACAGCAGCAAACCAAAAAATAAGTGTCACTAATGGTGACATGCTAGGCATATGGGTGCCAAGGAAGTCCTCAGTCAAGTAGGGAGTCAGTGGGGAGGGATTTTTGGAAGGAGGTGAGGTGGGGTCAGAGGCCCCTTTTACAGGGCAATGGAGGAACCATCAGATCTCCCTAAATGCAGTATGTTTCTGGCTAAGTGAGTGCATGAGCACCACTAACTCGTAGCCACTTTAACGGCCCAGCATTTTTAGCAGGGCCTTCCTGTCACAAGGAAGAGCCAGGCCCCACTTTTCCTGCCAAATTATGCATATATTCTCTCTTTTGCAAATGGGCAAACTCCAGACTACGGATAAGTTTATGACAAAAGCAAGCATTATCATCCATAAAGTCCCTCTATAGAGCTGTAACTTCATCAAACCTGTGTTCATAGTCGAGCTGTAAAATAATTTTAATAGTAATTTTTTTAACAGAGCCCAGCAAAGGAGGAAAATCTGCTGAGTTTAGACAAAACTCCATGGACAGAATTCCAACCTTAAGAAACAGCTTAACTTTGCCACCACTGGGTTATGAAGCTAACCAAATGTTTTGTCCTTGGGGATTTTTGTTTACTTTTCATTGTTAATTTTTATAATCAGAAAAATGAGGGTGTATGATATGCCCTTTGACCCATTAATCCCATTCCTGTAAAAGTGCATCCTAAGGGAAAATATTCTGATAAGGAAAAAAGGGGGTTGGTGGGTGGCCATCCCTACCCTTGTCTGGGCTCCCTGCCCCGTCCTGCCACAAAGCCCAGCCAGGCAGGTGTGAAGAGTTCTGGGCCCAGTCCCTAGTAGGGTATGGAGAGCTTTTCTTTTGCTTGCAGTCTCAAGCTGAACTAGCTGGAGGTAACGACCTCTCCACAGGTCAGCCCTGCCCCTGAAGGGCAACCAGCTGCCAGCCTGGAACCTTCTGCTGGGTGTCTTGGGCACAGAGGTGCCACCATCTTCCTCCCAGAGGCCACACTGTTCAAGGCTCGTCCTGGTTTTGCCCCGCTGCAGTATGACTCTCATGTAGGGCCAAGTTAGAAATAACCCATGTGTCCAGCATGAGGGATAGTTGTAAGCTATGATATACCCATTCAGTAGAAAACAAGGCTGCTTGTATTTTTTTTAATTAAGAAAATATATAAAATGGCAGACTGTGTATATTAAACGTAGGGGGGAAGGTAACTATGTAAAAATATGATTGTAGGGAGAGAGAAATGGAGAGTTGTCATTTAACTGGGTATAGCGTTTCAGATTTGCAAGATGAAAAAGTTCTGGAGATCTGTTATATAACAGTGTGAATATACTTAAGATTTCTGAACTATGCACTTAAAAAGGGTTAGGATGGTAAAATTTATAATATGTGTTTTTTACCACAATTTAAAAAAAAATTTTAATGATTGCATATTGGCAAAGCCTGGAGGGGAACCCCCTCCCTTCTCAAATAAAAATATTGGTTATATTGGTGTGGTACCATTCTGGAAAAATACTTAATGTACTTTAAGGTTTCATTGGCATATTACTTTCAAGGTATTTTTTAATATTGCCTAGGACCGTATT